AGAAATCATCGAAACTTATCATGAGACCAACTGTAAAGCTAGTGGAACAATGAACAATTCATTTTCAATCATAAGCAAATTTTTGACTACATTCTGAAATGACTGAATCCGCACTAGGCTATTTTCAGAAAAATTCAACATTTACAACTGCAAACCATTATTTGTAGCATAGGAAATCATGGAAATTACTCACATATATCAGTAGATACGAAAATTTATATGTATTAATTCTCTGAACTTATGAATTTATTGTACTATGAAGATGGAGACCCTACCAATGGTGCAAAGTCTGTCCGCGCGTGCGAACATAATTCAGGAAAGGTTTTCTCAGTCTGAAAAAATTTTCGAAAAAATATTTTGCTCGGAAGTTTCTTTCTCATGTCTGGGTAAATTTCGGAAATTGTTCGCAAATATCTGTATTTTTTCTGGATCTCTTTTTCGCTGCATAATAGTTTCTGAAATCTGATTATTTATGATGGAAATTTCTTTTTTTTCGAAAATCTGAACACTGCAGGATGAAATAGATCTTTAAATCAAGATCATCATAAATGAATTCTATTTATCAGTCAACGTTAAGAATTAACAGCGTGAAAATTAATCTAAGCTAGCTTGTAAATTTCAATGTCAGATGTAGTAAAATTTCGAGCTCCGGTGAATGTAATATCACCCTTTTCTGTTATATCGAGGTATGAAGAAGGGAAATTAGTGTAGATTGAGTCGTTAGAATTGCTAACATTTTTCACCAAGATATCGTGATTGCTTCCAAATATTGGGCCATGATCATTGTGATGATAAACTGCGTTTCCTATCTTATCAGGATTGATGAGGTATTTAGTCGGTGAAATATGGTGAGGATTAATTAAAGTGAATAAAAATGCTGTAGTATCATTTTTATATGAACCATCTGAAGTCCATGGAATAGACGTATAACCTCCAAAAAGATAGTTATTGTTTGATTGAATAATTGTCATTGTCGGTCCTTGATTGTTACAAAATGAATGAAATGTAGCTGCATCAAATCCATCATGTGATGCTTTGTAAATCAATTCTAATCGTTGATAAATCTTACCATAAAATTCATTTAGTTTTCTTTGATGTTCTGGTTGAAGTAATGATCCATTCGGAAAATAAATAACGCCTAATCGATCCATCAGACTATGCAAACGAAAATATTCAGCTTCAATGAAAAGACTATTTAGAAGTGTTTCATCTTTCATAACATTATTTGGCACCGTTTTTGTACGGAAATATTCAAGAAT